CTGGCTGCTCTGCAACCAATTCTGGAGCCGCTTGAGACGGCTCTCCTCGTCAAAGAAGCTTGGGAATGCTTGGGGTGCCACGCCCTCCCCATCCCCCCAAAAAAACTACTAAAAGCAACCCACAACAAGGGCGACGCAAAGAAACTGAAATCTGCTTGGGGGCTTTGCTGGTGTTTCGTTGCTCTTCGCTGCTGTGTCGCCACCACTCAACAAAAGTAGCTTTCGGCAGGGCACGAGCTGAGATGACTTGGAGTTCAAGGTCGGCCCAGGTGATTCAGTGGGTGGGCTCAGGAGGGCAAGGCCGCACAAATCCCCACGAATCCATGGACACCAGCATCTGAAGACCACTTAAGACACCAGGGCCACGCCCCGAATCCAAGGCTGGAAAGACTGTGGAGCGTCTAACAAGCCAAGCTTCTTCTTTCACAGGGTCCAATGACCCAGCCGTGCCGTTCCTCACTGGAGTGCAGGGTCGTGTTGAGAGCTATGCGCAATTTTGACGGACTCTTTCCCCTTTGACTCATTGTTGTGGCTTTGTTCTGACTTTGTCTGAGGAAGCTCAAGAGGCAGCACCATGCGGCACCGGAAACATCTCACGCCGTAGGGCAAGGGAGGGGAGTGAAATCTCCTTCACCTTCCCGGACGAACTTCGTATCCCCACCCCCCCCCCCCAATACAAAAAGAAACCTGAGAACAAACTTGAACAACATACAAGAAAGCAAGCAAGGGCGGGCGGTTGGGGGGACGCAGAAGAGAGAGGAGGAAGGAACGAGCCTAAACCCTAAACCCTAAACCCCAAACCCTAAACCCTAAACCCTAAACCCTAGAACCCTAAACCCTAAACCCTAGAACCCTGAACCCTGAAACCCTAAACCCTAAAGTCAGCCGCGTCTCAGGTTGAAGTGCAGCCGCGTGATCGGGTCCGAGAGCATGTCGGCCGAGCCCGTGGAGTCGGTCTCCTCGCAAAGCTATCCTGATACCCCCCCTTAAGGGAGGTTGAGGGCTTGAGGGTTGAGGGTTTTGCAAGGGTTTAGGGTTTAGGGTGTAGGGTTTAGGGTTTAGGGTTTAGGGTGTAGGGTTTAGGGTTTAGGGTGTAGGGTTTAGGGTTTAGGGTTTAGGGTTAGGGTTTAGGGTTTAGGGTTTAGGGTTTAGGGTTTAGGGTTTAGGGTTTAGGGTTTAGGGTTTAGGGTTTAGGGTTTAGGGTTTAGGGTTTAGTGTTTAGGGTTTAGGGTTAGGGTTTAGGGTTTAAGGTTTAGGGTTTAGGGTTTAGGGTTTAGGGTTTAGGGTTAGGGTTTAGGGTTTAAGGTTTAGGGTTTAGGGTTTAGGGGGCCCCCGAAGATTCAAGGGAGCAGGCCTTGCGAAGAAAGGAAGGAAGCAAGAGTGGACGCAAGAGACTTGAGAACCCCACTTGCGTCCTCCCACGCATTGAGGATGTCGGAGGCGTTGACTTCAACCACGCCCGACTGGCGCCTCTGACATCCCGCGCCGCCCTTGAAGCCTCAACCTTTGGACCCCGAAACCCTGCTGGCGAAGGATGTTTCGTGGGGGGTGGGGTGCGCGTAGGGCGAGGAGCCCAGCCGCTGACAAGACACCTACACACGACATGCTTTTGCACGCTGTGAAGGGGTGAAGGACACGATGAGCGACCACGAGATGGAGAGTGCGAAATGGCTTGTAGCCGTAGCTTCTCGCTGAGTTTTTGATCTGAAGTCAACACAGAACCAACACTGCAGCCTGCTTGGCCTCAAGCATGACAGCGACACGTCACGCAGCGCCTAACCCGGAGAACAAAAAATCAAACCCTGCTATCTGCTACCAGGAGCCCAGAAGACCCAATCTGTCATGCAAGCCGCTAAGCCTTAAGAAAGTCATACCTTCTAGGCATCCTGATCTGTACCTCCGCCGCATCAGGTTGTTCAGGCTCTCCATCCGCAACACCTGCGAACATGGCCGCAAAAAGTTAAAAGCCAGCTTTGAAGCCTTCAACCCCTCAGGTACACGAAGTGGGTGGCTCAATGCACGTTGAACTAATAGGGACCAAAGATGCCTGCCCCGAAGAAAAGGACTTTGTCGAGGCCCCGTGCTCCTGAGCGGTACAGCTCTTGGCGGCTCACACCAAGTCGGGGCTTGAAGGATTTTTGACTTAAAGCAAGCTTTCAACAAAGTTGCAGTTCGCAACCTAGGCAGACTTGGCACAAAGCAACATGCAGGCGGAACGAGTGCGAGGCGTCACTCGACGTTTCTGTAACTCATCACGCATGACTCTTCAAGTCGATGGCAAGGCGCAAGGGACGGCCGCCGATTCCGCAGAACCTGGCCCCAGATTTCAACTCTTTTTGGAAGGCATCCCATGTCGCTGCAAGGTACCCAGTCAGTCACTTGTGCGCCATCCCCAAACCAAACCGAGCACGAACCGACGGCCGTTACGCAAGAACTGCTGGGCAAACTTCTTCAACCCCTGAGCCGAAAGCCCTCTAAGCGCCCCCTGTCGCAGGCCTGGGGGCAGCCAGCAACCTCCTGTGATGCGCAGAGGGTTGGGTGTGCGAGGGGCCAATGTGTTTTTGAGGGCATTCTTAAAGGTTTTGGAGGGTTTTTGGAGGGCATTTTTGAGGGTTTTTTGGAGGGTTTAGGACTTTGGGTTTAGCGTTTAGGGTTTAGGGTTTAGGGTTTAGGGTTTAGGGTTTAGGGTTTAGGGTTTAGGGTTTAGGGTTTTTAGGGTCTCTTACCATCCGAGGCTCGGTGAGATGCTGCTCCAGGAGCTGGTCCAGGAGCGCCTCTGCCACAGCACAGAAGACTCGGCTTGGGATGCTCCCCCCCAACTGATACCCACAGTTTTTAGGGTTTAGGGTTTAGGGTTTAGGGTTTAGAGTTTTAGGGCTTAGGGTTTAGCGTTTTAGGGTTTAGGGTTTAGGGTTTAGGGTTTAGGGTTTAGGGTTTTAAGGTTTTAAGGTTTTAAGGTTTTAAGGTTTAGGGTTTAAACGGGATCCTGGTACCCCCGAGATGATCATCCCTACTAGGGACTGTGAGTAGAACGGGGGGAACATCCCAAGGCTCGGTGTGCAAAATCAGAGCCGAGAGGCCCCAAACTCAACCGCCCCCACAATCTTTCTACATCCTTCGGGCTTTCTCTAGATTCGGGTCCCTTCTGGGTCCTAGAGTTCAAGAGCTACCCCTTTCTGAAATCACGACTTTACCACGCAACAAAAAAAACCACGCAGGCACCGTGGGGCCTGAAAGGCTTCCGAAACTTTTGGCGAGCTTGGCGTCTCCTTGGGCTTGGCCTTCTGGCGCTCCGAGGCCTGGTTGTCAGGCTTGGGGAAACTCTTACAGATCAGGGCTTTCGGGGTTTAAGGGGCTTTACAGGGTTTGAAGGGTTTAAAAGAAAGGGGCTTAAAAGGCTTGGAATTTCCAGGAACCTCTTTCTAGACCCTTCCGACCCTTTCCTCCTTGTCGCTGTCGGCATTGTGTGAAGGGTTTCTTATGAGGTTGGGAAGCAAGCAGACGCCCTGGCTCAAACAGCAATGTACCCGACTCACAGACAGCCCCACGCCTGTGACTCACGGGGCAGAAATTGCCCATCCCTTCCCCCGATGTCTAAAGGACATAGAAACCTACTATCCGACCCGCCCCCCCCGTTTTCTGGGTTGGGAAAGGACTCCCTCTTCCCATGAAAGCTGCAGCTGAGTTTTTGTTCCGGCAAAAGCGCCGAAATTCTCAACAACAACCGTTCAGAGCTCTTCCCGCATGTGCCTGAGGGATGCTGCCGCGAAATCCAGTGCACGCCAAGGAGGGTGCGGGCTGAAAATTGGCGGATCCCAACGGGCTCTTTTCAAAAATTGACCGGAAACCCTTGGGCCCCTGAATAGAGCCCAGCCAGGCCACTGAGTCATCCTTCCCATCCAGGGAGACTCGTTGCCCGTGGCAGACTGCAGGTCCTTAGACGGGTGTTTGGAGCGAGAGAATGAAAGATTTGGGGTGTTAAAGCTTGGAGTTTAGGCGGGTTGGAGTTTAAGGCTCCAGTGAAGAACCTGTAAAGATCCATGGACAGATGACAGATTGGTGGCAGTAGACAGCGTGACGGATTTCTGGGGAGTCGCGCCAGCCAGTTTGCCACAAGAGCGCGGAAGAGAATAGCTGAAAAGCTAGGCACCGAATGTAGCGATTCCTTGATACGCTGTCTGTCATGGTCATGACGTGAACCAAAGGGCTGGCTGGGACCCCATCGCCATTAATCGCACTGGGCTGCTCGGCAGGCTCGTGCCTGAGGATTCAAGGTTTGCCCCCCAGCTGAAGTCACTGAAGCCTGAGGGCCCCCGATCCCCAAACCCCAAAACACACAACATTCAACGCAAACCGCTCGCTCGCATTCACATCTGGCCCAAACCCCCGCCCCCTCCCCCACTCTCAACTCTCTCAACTCCCTCTCTCTGCATGCTTGACCCCCCTCTCTCTGCACATCTTTTGTTTTGTTTTGCTCTCTCTCTCTCTCTCTGTCTCTCTGCCCCTCTCTCTGCACATCTCTCTGTGCATTTACCTGCACCTTTTCGGCACTCTCAAGGCATCTCCGAGCGACGGGAGCTCGGCGAATGAGAGGCCGTGGGGGCTTGCCATGGCCGGAAGAGGCTGAAAAGGGGTTGAAAAGCTGCTTCAAATTGCTTCAAGGCACCCCATCCTTCCTTCACCCTTCTCTTCCCCTACTCTACTTGCGGTGCTCTCGAATTGCGATGCTCCATTATTGCGGGTACCCAAATGGGTGTGTCAGGCGGCCGGCTGAGAGCGAGAACATGCGATGGCGGCGGGGAATCAGCAGTTTGAGAGCGCTGCGCTCCGCCTGTTGCCTAGGAACCTGAGAACCCATCGAAACTTCCTAGAAGCCAGCGGCTTCGCTTAGCGATGCTTAGGGGCTTTGAGTTCAAGGTGCTCCTTCCTTGGGCGTTTGGGAAGGTGAGTTGCCAGTCTCAACCTTGCATGTGCTCTGGATCTCCAGCTGAGACATCGACCAAGCCACTCCGGCTCAGCCATGGGGCCGCCCCTCAGATGTAGAGCTGAAGCTGATTGAATATGAAGCCTTGAATGTCACTTGTAGATTGAGCCATATTATGATTGAGCACCAAAGTTTGCGCGCAGGAGGCCCCCGGCATTTTGTTGCCCCCCCCCCCCCTCTCTTGCCCCCCCAGGCTGTCGTTCTTTGCGTTTCCTGAGGCAGGCGCCTGCCTGGGCCTCCAGGGCCACGGCCGAACCTGGGCTCGAAGAAGCGGGAGATGCTGAACAGGATCAAGAAGTCTAAGAGGCTACTGCGGTGAGGGGCGACCCTAAAAACCCTAAAGACCCTAAACCCTAAAGCCCCCAAAACCCCCAAAACACCCTGCGGCAGATCGATCCCTCCTAGGGTCCCCCGCGCGGCTCGGGCCGTTGCCGCAGGGGCACCTGGGGCACCTGGGGCACATGGCACAGGGTTTAGGGTTTAGGGTTTAGGGTTTAGGGTTTAGGGTTTAGGGTTTAGGGTTTAGGGTTTAGGGTTTAGGGTTTAGGGTTTAGGGACGCCCTGTTTCTTGAAGCCTCTGAGCCGATAAAGGGAAAGCACCTTTGTGAGGGAGTTTGGGGGTTTCAGGTTAGGGCTTCGCTCTTTCGCACGAAGTGGCACCACACATTCTAGCCGCTGCACCCGAAGCCTTCAAAAGACGCACCCGATACACTGCCAAACCCTAAACCCTAAATCCGAAGGGCCCCCAACCTTGAAACCTACCCTAAACCCTGAACCCCGAACCCTGCACCCATAACTGCGTTAGATCCACGGATCTGCACTCCGCGCCTCGCGTTGCGGGAGCCGCCGGATGGGCGGCAGGCGCCACGAAGGCACTGGCAGGGGATTACATGTCTATGCGGACATAATGTAAAACTATATGCATAGAAAAAGAACATGTATATACATATATATATATAACATGTTCATTACTTCCCCACCCTCGGTGTCTAGTTGTTAGATTTTAAACTCCACTCTTCTCCTTGCCTGGAAGCATGGAACTCTTCTCCTCGCCCAGTCTACTCCTCGCTCATCCCTGGAGTGCCCAACTCCAAAGTGTCCTGGAGTGCCCAACTCTAGTGCGTCGCCGGAGCAACCCAACCCCAAAGTCTTCTAGGGTGCCCAACCCCAGAGTCTCCTTGGAGTGCCCACCACCAGAGGCCCAACCCCAAAGTCTCCCTAGAGTGCCCAACCCCAGAGTCTCCTTGGAGTGCCCAGTTCCAGAGTCTCTCTCGAGTGCCCAGCCCTAGAGTGTTGCTGGAGTGCCCAAACCCCAAAGTATCTCTACCAAGAGAGGGTGGGGATGTTCGAAGTAAAACTATTTACTTCGAACATCCCCACCCTCGCTTTGTAGAGATACTCTGGGGTTGGGCACTCCAGGGAGACTCTGGGGTTGGGCACTCCAGCAACACTCTAAAGTTGGGCACTCCAAGGACACTTTGGGGTTGGGCACTCCAAAGATGACTGAGGAGTAGACCGGGCGAGGAGAAGAGTTCCGCGCGAGGAGCAGAATTCCAGGCGATGAGAAGAATTGAGTTTAAAATCTAACAACCCCACACCGAGGGTGCGGAATAATTTATTTAGGGTTACGGGTTCAGGGTTCAGGGAGGGTTGAGGGTTGATGGTTTAGGCTTGAGGGTTGAGGGCTGAGGTTTAGGGTTTAGAGTTTAGGCTAGGGTTTAAGGTCTAAAATCTAGGGTTTAGGGTTTAGGGTTTAAGGGATATGTTGTCTGCAGGATTCGATCATAATCGATTACACAGATCCTTGCACGGCTGTCCAAGCCAGAGTTGATGCTTCAGGGAGATGCATCGCAGAAACTCGCAGAGCACCCCAAGCCTCACGTCATGAAACTGAATCCCTAAACTCTAAACCCTAAACCCTGCCTGGATGCCATGTAGCAAGCCATCGCCAGTGCAAGGGACCGCCAGAAGCGCACCTTGCAGCGAGGCGGGCTGAGCTTGGAGCAAAGTTCCATGCGGACATGTGACCTTGACGACGAATTTGCATGGTTGATTTTTAGTCCTTGTTGCTCACATGCGGGAACAGCATCTGACACCGTGCTGCTGAACATTTTTGAGCCCACATCCACGTCCACATATGCCCCTTTTCAACTTCCAGAAAAAAAAGTTGCCAAGCAGTTCCGAGTGCCCAGTGTTGTGTTGCTTGCAAGCCAAATTCCAAGCACACCTTTTTGCGTGCTGTTGTGTCAACGTGCATAGCCTGTGGGCTTCTTTGAAGAACCAGCGCTTCGAAACCCGACCACAAATCCGGCGCAAGCCTGCTGCCGCCCTCGTCCTGCAGCCATGGCTCGGAAGCAGAATGGCTCTTCAAGCTACCCGTCAATCCGACCAAGAGGCAGGGAAAGCTGTTGCGCATACATCGGTCCACAAGCTGAAGCACACACTGGAGCTGACCTTTCCTGCAATGCAAACATTTTGCTTGTAGATTTAACTGGTTGTTGCTGTGGCTGTTCGTGGAACCGAGGCAGAACATCTTGACGGGGCGAGTCCGAAGCGCCACGACGTTCCTTTCAGACACGTGGCACCGTCATGTTGCTGCATATGCTCAAGAAACAAGCTCACAGCAAAGGCTCTACTACAGCTCTACTACAATTGATCGCAGCCATCTAAATGCTCTTGCAACCCTAAGCGAAATGGTGCATGTGCACTGTGCACGCAAGTTTTTTTGCAAATGATCTCGTACTCGTTTTCAACCTTGCGATGCGTAGGCAAAAATACGTTTGTGAAGAATCTGCTTGAAAAGCATGTGCGTACCTGTGGGAAGGCCATGCTACATCCTTCCGTAGATGCTGCAAGCACGGTGGTGCGAGGCCATTGCGAGCGGTGCATGTATGTGGCGCGCACGGTGCGCATATATGTCTACAACGAGCTCACGTGGAGCGTGTATGGCTATGACTTTAGAAACAAGTTGTCTAGAAGTAGGGGTCTTCAGGAAGCACGCGGGAAAACAATGGAGACCCATCTCCATTATTTCCGCTCATGTTTGTATGATACTTCACGTTAGGTTAAAGCTCCCTTTTGCTTGAGGTCAATACGGACGTGCGACTTTGCGAGCATCTTGGAGTATTCAAAATGTTAGCACTTGATATATGCAATGAGCTGTGTTTTCGCATGACATGAGAGTCGAGGTTCTCAAATGGCATGTTGTTGCCCCCAATCTGACTTTGGCAAAAGCCTTGCTTGAGCACGTGCCATCAAGTCTCTGACAGCGGGGACGTAGGGTATAGTGCAAGGCGCAATGTACGCGCGCGCAGTGTGTGCCTGCAGTCCGTACGCATGCAGTTGCACCGAGCACATGATTCACTAGAATTGATGCTGGATTTTGTTGTTCTGAATCTACAGGTATGCTCCCTAGTTGATGGTTCCCGTTCTGCGACAGAGTGGGTGCAATGTACATGGCGGCCTTCACATAGTCCAAGCCTGCCGAGCTTGTGCGTGCTTTGGCCGGCTTCGGAATGCACGGCAAGCGTGCTTGATGATCACCTTCATGCCTCAATAATATGTGCGACTAGCCTGACGCTCGCTCAGATGTCCTATAGCCAAGCTGGCTTTCAAGTACAAAACGGATTCGCAACTCGAAAGCCCGTTGACATCGACACGCTTTTTCGTGCTTTGGTATCTTCGTCGTGGCCGCTTTGGTCTTTTTAAGCCGCCCCGTGGGCTGTCTCAGACAGGCTGGATAACCTCTTTGACCACCAATGCAATGTCCCAGAAATGGGTGTTTGCGAGCGTATTGTGGGTGGTGCTCGACAGCATCTTCATACTCTCAATGGCTACTGTAGCGTTTCTCCAAACCTCATGGTTGTAGCAAAGCATCCGCTGAGGCATTGTCATGAAGGGCACGTAGGGTGCATGGCATGACAACTGCAGAGCCTCTAGGCGGATGCAGCGGGCCAAACTGCTTGTCACAGCCAGCGGCAAACCTGAAGGCGAGAGATCTGGACCGGTGCGTGGGTCCAAGGCCAGGATGGCAAAGACATCCACACCCATGCGCTCCAAGTAGCCTGCTACTGCCCGGGCAACGTTTACACCGAGCGAGTGCCCGCTCAAAATCACCTTGACACCTCTACTCGAGGCATGAATCCCAGAACAGCCTTTACGAAAGAAGCGAAAGCTCCGAAGCGTATAGCTGTCTCCATGCATTCAACCGATATGCTGGCGCTGGCTGTGGGGAACATAAGGCCAGCAAGGAGAACATAGGATTCTGGGAAAGGTGCCTGTCGCACTAGTCCCGAGAAGAAAGCAAAGGCGGCATCCCTTCTACATTCGTGCTCCTGCGGAAGTACTGCTGCTTCCGTCAATGTCGTCTAATGCCCGCACGCTGCGCAGATGCTTCGACACAAACACGGGGTTCAGCTTTCAAACGGTCAGGCGTGGACGGTAGAAACACAGCTCGGTACGTGCAATGAACTCGGAGGGACCTTGAGGAAGACCAAGCAGTCCAAGCGGTAACCAACGGTGTCAAGTCCGAAAGGTTCGGGGACCTGTTGCGACTGCTGCTCCGTTTCCTAGCGGTTGCCTAGCACCTTCGGAACCCTTTTGGAACCCTCTGAATCGGGAAACGGTCTGAGACAACAGCTCACGGTCGAACGCATTAGGGACCTCGATTCGAAGCCATAAGGTTGAGGCCGGTGACGGGCTTCATGCTTTTGCCAAGGGCCCACTGCTGCAGAAAACCTTTCAGCAATAGAGCGGACTGACGAAGAAGGGGGAGGTCAGTACATCGCTGAGGGATCTGATGCTCGAAGCCCCACGTTAGACAGGCCACTGTTGCTCTGCGCACGGCCCCTTCGGAACCCGTTGAATCATAAGATGACGCCGTGGACTTGTGACTGTGATGGCTGTGACGGTGGGAAGAGTTCCAGACTGGGCACATGCAGCGGCTCCGAACATCGTGCTATCCGCTCAAAGCTGCCGAGGCCTCGCCGTGCCTGCTTGTGCCAAAAACACGTCTGCAGAGAATCTCAGACTGCCACTCCGAGTGCAAAGAGATGCGAAAAGCACAAGCAGTTTAGTAGTGGGGGCATGAGCTGCGAGAGGAAGGACCATGGCGGTACTGGAATGCCTTCACGCCCACCGAATCGAAGGAAGATGTGAGCTTGGCCTTGTGATTGTGATTTTGAGGAAAACAAAGGGAGGTAACACTTAGACCGGGCAAGGGCTTCGTCTCAGCCCTTGCTTGCCCCTTCGCACGAAGCCTCGTGGCCTTCTGCTAACTTCGTCGAACCTTCCCTGCATTCGTACAGCAAGAGGTGCGATCATATTGGCTCGGTGCGCCTTGAACCTGTCTCGACCTGCGTGCTGTCAGGAATTCTGCATACTTCTGCGCGTCTCGGGAAAGAAACTCCTGCCACCGCTTTTCGTTCTCCAGCATGAAGTCATGGCGCCGCCTTTCGTTCTCCTGCATGAAGTCATGCCACTGCTTTTGCTCGGCCTTGTTCCGCTCCACGTTCTCCAGCTTGAAATCATGCCATTGAGCAAGCATTTCCTTGTGCCGATCTACGAGGTTCTCGATCGATGACCTTCTTTTCGATCTTCTGCGCACTGAGATGCCAGAATGCTTTCGATCCGCGTTGCCATGGGCGCTTCAGATGCTGCATATTCTTCAACATGGTTCTTATCTGCAAACAACTTGAATGACAAGACGGCCGTGGCATGAATCATCAACAAATGCACATCTTGTGCATACACATGTGGCAAATTAGGCTGGTCGAATTAACGGGTGTTGCAAGTTTAGTCCCCCGCTTCCGTGTCTTGCTCAGGCTCAGAGGCTCAGACCCTCCCAAACGAACCCTGAACAGGCTGTCCCTGCACCTCGGCAAGGAAGACCCGGTAGCCCAGCACCAGGGAGGCATCGGCCGGCTCGTCCCACGTGGTCCTGCGGTCGAATCAGCGGGGCCTTGGGGTCCGCGGATGTTCTCTTCTCTTCAAGTTCTTCTCAGGTTTGGCTTAGGCCTGCGCAAGAAGGGCGCATCCACAACGCATCTGCCCTGGAAAAGCCGCAAGTTGCTGAAGCCTGTGTGAGCCCAGGCCTCTCTTTTTTTCTCGAGCTAAGACCCTTTACGGGCTTGCGACTTCGCAGAGCCAAGGCCCTAAATCCTAAACACCAGACCCGCCCCTATCTGGAAGACGAGGCGCTCCCGGCCCCAAGGGTGGTCGGATCAGTCCACCGGCTGCCCCTAATGTACAAGTCGATGAACCAGTTCATTCGTAGAAATGAAGACCTAGCCGCCAGTCACTTAAGCCCGGCGACAGCAACAAAGCATGCAAGAAGAAGAACTTGTCATGCTATCGCTTCGGTGATTTGAAGCCCCGTGACACTGTGGGAAAAGCCTAACAGGAGAGGCTGGAAGACACAGGACATGAGGCAGCAAGAACCTGCTTCGCAGGTCAAACGGTCAAACATGGTCAAACGTAAACGTACATCACCCGAGTCACTTTGTCAGGCTCTGCAGTGTTGCTCTCCACGGGCTCGTCATTCTTTTCATCCTGGCAAAGATCTTTATCTTTCTGGTCTTTTTGGCCTTGTGGAACTTGCGCGCGGGAGTCCACACTTCCGGTAGGTGCAAAGGAGCTGGACCTGATCCGACGCCTGTACTGGGGCGAGTTTTGGTCGAAGGTGACTTCGGAAGCTATGAGTGCGGCTGCGGAGAGCAACAGGTTGACGTCGTAGACTGCCAACCTACTCACACTTCTTGAGACCTCAAAGCTCTCAAGCTGTGCAAGTTTCGACGCGGTGCTTTGCAGGGTTGCGGTGACGAGGCTCGCGGGCGGCAGCGTCTGCAAGTTGAACATGCACAACTCATTCTGCCCACCAAGCGCTGCCTGAAAGCAGAGGGCGCAGCTCGTCATGATCAGTAGTAGAAATATCACTGTTCCAAGTAGACCCATCGTCACAGTACCAAGAGCATCCACAAAAAGCTTCATAGCCCCCTCAACAGTGCCGATGTGGAGGGCATTTGAGGCCACCAAAACGATGATGCAAAAGCCAGTGAAGCAGTCCAACACGTTCAGGAGCGGCACCTTCCACGGCCAAGCCCGCGTTTCCATGATCAGAAAGATCATGAAAATCAGCATCACGGATACGATCTGAACTGGGGGATAGTCAGTTGCCAATGCAATTGGCAAAGACATCAACGGACCGCGCGCCAGCAGCGCCACCCCAAACCACCAGCTATCCAAGCGAAATCGACCGAGCAAGAAGCGGAAGGCTTGCACCCTGTCACCCTGGTCCTTGCTGCTCCATGTTGGTACAACCAACACTGCATATGTGCAAACGGTCAGGAAGCCGAGAACGAAAAACAGTAGAAGGAGCAGGCCGGCTACCAGCATCAGGGTGTGATCCGGCGTGCCGCACGTAATGCTGGGGTATTTCAGGACGCTGTGCACTCCGTTCGGGTGGCTGAAGCACATGAGCGGCGCCAAGGCTATAGTACTCATGGTGCTGAAGCCCACCTTCAAGGCCGAGAAGGAAAAGCAACTTATTTTCTCAAGCCGTTATTAAAAGGGATTAGAAGCTCTTCTGTTCAAGAAACTCGGTACTTTTCACTTGGTAAACTTCACATAGGCCCCCAAGGTCCCCGCAGGTCCCCACCTGCAGCACCGCGCCAATGCAACTCCAGGTCTTCGGCCCCGCCCATCGGTACTCAAAGGGCAAGCAGTAGGAGGCTCGTTGGCACACAAGGAGGTACAGGACCGCTCCAGGGAAGAAGCAGGCTGAGGCGATGTAGCGCAAGGGCACGAAGCCCCCTGCGATGCATCCGAAGCCGAGGCTGTCGATGTCCAGGAGGAATATTTGGAAGAACTCGTAGATGCCCGTGAGGTTAGCCGGAAACTTCACCGTCATCATCCCAATGATTCCAACACTTTGTAGCGCATTGATCGTCATCCCAAATGCACAGGTCGTGGTAAACAGCACAGATGCCTTGGCAGTCGACTGTGATGTCAGGGCGTAGTATGACACAATCAAGCCGGTGCAGACCAGGACAATCGCAGCAACCCATCCGAAGATTTGCCATGTGGTGCACTCCGTGCAGGTCTCATTGCTCCAAGATTGTCCCTGAGGGCAGTCGGTACATGCGGTTCCTTGGAGACTGCTGCTGCAGCTCCCGGGTGCTCCGCCAGGGCAGCGAAATTCGCCCAAACACCGGTACGCCGCTAAGGGATCCTCGGGGACGCTGTAGAAGTTCTCCCGCACGGATGGCACGAACTGGTCACCTAAAGTGGAGCTGCCCGAGATCAGGCTAGTAAGTGTAGAAAGAGCTGGACAGTCAAACCCCTCGCCACACTCCACACAGCTCAGGTTACTCGCGTTGCTCTCGACATTGATGTACCCAGCCGGGCAACCGCAGTCTGCCCTTGAGATTGAGCCAAAGCCCAGGGTCGTTCCACCATCGCAGGAATGGCACCAGGACGAGCCTTTTTGGTCCTGGTACTGGCCAATGTCGCATCTGTTGCAGCTCTGGCTGCCCGAATTGTTCTGATACTCTCCGAGCTGGCATGGCTCGCACACAAGCGCCGCACCAGAAGGCTGGCTTGTACCCGGCTCACAAGGCTTGCATTCATAGGTCATGCCTTTGTCATCCTCCATCTGTTCTGAGTGGCGCCCCGACACACATGCCCGACATTCCAAAAATGAAAGGTCGTTCGGGTCGTTCCTGATGTTCGTGAAAGCCTCGAGCTTGGTGTTGTATAAACCAAACCCAGGGAAACATTTCGTCTTGTCCGGCAACCACGAGGACCAGGAGTTTGGGTTGGCCTGAAGCCAACGGCACGCAACATCCCTGAGGGAGTCACCAGTTTTCCTCCATTCCCGCATCATGTCCATCACGTCCTTCTTGTTCCACCGCATGTTCCGAACCAACTCCACGACATTTGGGGCCAAGGAAGACAAGTCTTGGCTCACCAACTTCGTGATCGCGGTGGTAGCGGCTGAGGTTCGCTTGTCTCCGATCAGGTAGGCATTAAAATCATAGGGCGGGAAGGTAATGTCCACCGGATCTAGGTCCACGAATGTTCCATCGGGAATCCACCAATAGAAGGTGCTCTTGACCTGTTTCGGAAACTCTGCCCAACTCCTGGGCAACGCAATGGCCACGGGCATGTCGTAGGCCGTGACCTTTTGCATCATATCATCCAAGCCAAACCACCCCACTCCAACGGTCACATACGGGATGCATCGAGAGGCATTGCCACGGCATGCCGGCGATAGCCACCAGTAGCCGTCCGGGCAGAAGGCCACCAAGTCTCCGTTCGGCTGCCGCTGCAACCCGGCCATATCGCCTGCATCTCTGTTCTGTTTAATTTGGTGCCATACCTGTGAAAACTTAAAACAAGACCAAATTCGAAACAACTGTTGTATGGATCCCCTTGGCCTGTGACCCTGAGGTAGTCCTCATTGGGCGTCGAGGCCATGAACCGAGTTTCATTGCAAGGGCGCAAAAGGCTTCGGTCGATGGATGCGAGGCTATCAAAGTACTTCTCGTTGTGGCTCCACGACGCATTCCAGCCGCGGTAGTGCTGCAGCACCGCCCCATCCTCGAAATGCGACTCCACGAGGACAGACCGTGGAAAGTAGGTAGAAATCGTGCCGTCATAGCCCATCGAGCCCAAATCCACCGGAGCTGTGGACGGCCACTTCGTCGTGATCTCGCGAATTCGCGCAGCATGGTCCTCGGGCCATGCAAAGATATGCATAGATAAAGCACAGATATGCATAGATACGCCCCCCCCCCCCAAATGTACCCATGTTTTTCTTCCAAACTGTGTTGTGTGACGAGAGAAAGACGGCTCGCGGAAACGAATGGCAAAAGAGAGGGGAAGCAGATGTAAGCGATAATGCGTTTTTGCAAGTGCGTATGGTTCTGAGTTTTTCGATGGATATTTTGAGTGTTCAGGGGCTTCATGGGTTTCATCCTTTAAACTCCAAGCACTTGCTGAGGTCATGACCCGGGCAAAACATGGAGAGCATGTCTCCACATAATCGTCGGCAAGTCTTGGGCTCAGATTAATTGACTGTATTGATTTGTGCGTTTAGAGGCAAATTTAAGTAAGTCGGCCTTTACGTTGCAGCACTGTAGGAGCTTGTCTCACATGAAAATGTCAATCTCGCGAACTATATTTTGGAAAGGCCTGGCATTTTACGTTCTGATGCGTTCTGATGTTACTTCTCTGTAGTCATCTAAGAATCCATTAATAACACAACGGAAACGTTGGGAAGGCTGGGGTTTGAATGCGTACCTAATTACAAGTGAGTCTTGTCTTCAGGGCTTTAAAAAGGCGTTGTGCCTGAGAAGCTGTCTAGTTTTCGTAGGGTCTGTTTTTTTCATGGAGATGCAACTCCCAAATCCTAAAACAATGCAATAACCCCTAGGAAAGGTTTGGATTGCGCCTTATGGCCTTTTAAATTTGGGACCATCGTTCTGCAAGTTGATGTTTGCCTTGGTCTGGTTGAGGGGTTGAGGGGCCGAAGGAAATATCATTATTGACGGATTGCTTCTAGGGAAACTTGGCATCCCCCTGAAAAAGCCGAAGGAAGTCGTCAGTTGTTTCTGTGACAACTTTGCATTTCCTTGAGGAGTCTTGGGTTTTAGAATTTATTGACTGTGGATTGTTGAATTTAAAGGAGATTTTGAACAAGCTGGCCCTTCCCCTGGAAGGGCATGCATAAATGTCTATTTTTTTTAGGGGTTGTCTCCCATGTAATTGTGTGTTTTGGGCTTTGTGGGTCCATACTTTGGACAAGCCCAAAACAATTTGTTTGAATGCATTTTGCCATTGATATTCATCCAAACATCAATATGACTCAATGGAACCGTTAAGGAAGGCAGGGATTTATGTACTTGTGAGTCCTGAGGATAACCCTGTTGGGAAACCCCTTGGGAAACATTGAGAGTGAACACCAAGATACTCGCGAGTAACTGCGAGCTACTAGCATTTGGGAGGTCCCGGAGAATCGTGAAAAGACACTTGTTCACCGCATTTTCGCTTCCAGGGCCTGCATACACTGTTCTTTTCCCCTTTTTTTATATACAATACATGTGCTCTATATGTGTACACAAAATGTAGGTATTTCCACAGCAATGTATTTCCACAGCAATCGCGACAAGCCCTGCAAACGAAAAGCTTTGCTTTGGGGACACTCACATTGAGAGCTCTCGTCACGACTCACGGATGGTCTTAAGTCCCCAGGTTTCCCAACAGTTCCGTCGGACTTATCGCTTCTATCTCTTGAGATGGCGCTTAGTCCTGAGCAGCACATAGCACGAAGAGACTACAAACAAAAAACAAACAACAAACCACAAAAAACAAAGACACCAAAAAAAAAAAAAAAAAAAAAAACAGGGATAATCCCAAACCAAACAAACCAAACAAACCAAAACAAACCAAAACAAACCAAAACAAACCAAAACAAACCAAACCAAAAAACATAAAATCCCAGAGATAATCCCATACCAAAAAACAAAAAACAGGGAGAATCCCAACCAAAAACTAAAAAGCGAAACTAAAAGCACAATGTATTTTTGTTTTGGCTTTGGTTGGGGTTCGGGATTCTCCCTGGGATTTTGTTTTTTGCTTGTGGTTTCTGTGGATTTTTTGTTTCAGAATCTCCCTGGGATGTTTTTTGGTTTGAGGTTCTTTGTTTTTGTTGGTTTTGCTGGCTTTTGGGTTTCTAGAGAATGCCCCCGTAATTTTCAAAACAGGACGCAACTCAAGCAGGGAGAAATAACAACACAAGGATATGGGCACATGGGGGCATCACAAACACGCATAGATCTGCGTAGCCACTTGAGTCTCGTTGGAGTCTCACTAGAGTCCTCCGCCCACACCTCGAGATTGACGTGGTTGTAGGTTACCAAGTCCGGCGCACAACCCGCATCCAGAAGGTCCGTGGGCCGTGGGCAGCCCATCAAGGCGTAGAAGGCATTTGGCGTTGCGGACCCCGGGCCCGTCTGAATGACGTTGTAGCCCAGCAGCTCCTGAAGCTCTCAGAGGCTTAGAGGCGCTACACACTGACTCTACACTCCTGACGCCCCTACTAGTCCTACCAAGCTCAAAGTCCTCGACTAGGATTAGCGACTTAGCATTTAGGGGCTTCAGGGGTTTCAGGGCCAACGTTAGTGTGAAGCCCCAAGCCTCTAAGAGGATGTGGAGGGCGTTGCTCGTCACATAGTTAGCATCCCAGTCTTGTATGAACAAGCCGATGGGATAGGACTCGCTGTTCGAGGTCAAATTATTCCTTTGACTTGGGCTTCTGGCATTTGGAAGGCAAGCAGTGCTTGCATCCACTTCTTGGAAGATCCATGCAAACCCAAACAGCTTGCAGAACACTGCCACCATTGATTTCTGCTCTACGAGGAGTTCTACGTGGCAGCTGATGAGAAACAGCAAGGCGAAATTAAAACTGACTTTCCTCTGTGGCTGCAGCAACTACCCAAGCTGTGCAACAGGCGCTGGGGCCTCTCTTCCAACTGAAGATGATTGATGTGGCCTCGCGGGGTCTGCCATATTCCGCTGAACGTCACATATAGCGTCACAAACAGTACTCAAACATGAACGCAAGAAACCATGCATCACTCAGCGTGGAACATGCTGACTATGACGGTGCCGTGTTATATTATATCCACAAGCACCTGACACTAGATTCTACCAGTAGCCCTTTCACCTACTGGGGGAGAAAGGGTCCCTCGCTAGCACTCGGACGCCCGTTTCTTTTGACACAATGGGCGGACCCCATCCTTAACTCGGAGGCTGAGCATCAACGAGCACCTTTGATAGCTGAGCGGGGCACCTGCGCGCGAGCAAGTAACTCGGCAGCACCGTGACGAAGGCGGCGACTGTCTTCCTCATTGGGGAAAGTTTCCAATGGGGGGGCAGACTATCCGACCTTTGAATGACCCTGCCGTGGAAAACTGCTTCTGCGAAGGGTTCGGTGGGGTACTTCGGAATCATGATTTTCCCTGCTGTGTAGAGGGCAACATAGCAAGTGGGCAAAGCCATTGATTATCACCAAATGTAAGTTGAAAAGCCACATGCTTCCGAAGATGTGGAGAAAAAACAACGTTACAAAAATTATGTTAAAGTTTATCTAGGCAGTGGAACACTTGTTAGTGATAGAGTAAAGGAGGCAAGAATCAGAGTCCTCGACTCGTAGCATGAGCAGCAGAAGTAGTCTAGTAGACTGTAATCACATAAATAGCAGTAGAAGTGGCAAAGGAAATGGCTTTGGCAGTGCAGTGGCACTGGTCACTAGTACTACAGTCGTAGTCGTGGTTTTCGTTTTCGTCGTCGTAGTAGTAGTAGTAGTCGTAGTAGTAGTAGTAGTAGTAGTAGTAGTAGTAGTACTACTAGTACTAGTAGTAGCAGTAGTAGCAGTAGCGGTAGCAGTAGCAGTAGCAGTAGCAGGAGCAGTAGCAGTAGCAGTAGTCGCAGTAGTAGTAGTAGTAGTAGTAGTAGTAGTAGTAGTAGTAGTAGTAGAAGTAGTAGTAGTAGTAGTAGTAGTAGTAGTACGGTGCAACCCTATGGTTTGCCCGCGCTTGTTTTTGGAAGGTACATAAAACATGCGCAGGCGCAGCGTTTCTGGCCTTTGCCGGCCTTTCAACAGTGTTCTTTTTTTCGTTTTTTTTCTTCATAAACGACGACCCTCTGCGGGTTTCCCTGCGTTCCGGACTTCGCAGAACCCTATGGTTTGCCCGCGCGCGCGTCTTACGGTTTGGGCTTTGGAGTGTTTCAGGCACGAGTCCAGCACGAGGGCTTCGGTGTTTTGTCGTCCTGGGCTTCAAGGAAATAACACTGCTTTCGGGCGTGGGTTCAGGGTTGAGGCGTAAGACAGTTTACGGTTTGCCCGCGTCTTCTGCTTGTGGGCAACGAGCAGCCAAAGCCTAAACCTTAAACTCCAGAAGTTCTTGGTCCTATTTCATAGCTCAGGATTTCGCAGACGACTCGTCTTGTGGCCACTACACTACTGACGCAGTCCCGTGCTTGTTGGGTCGCGCGGCCACAGGTCCGCGGTCTGCAGAGGCGGACACGGCCCTGGCATACGGGAAGCGGGGCGCAGACGCTGGCCACCTGCTTCGGAGGCAGAAAGAAAGCCTCCTCAGCGAGCTGCCCAGCGTCTGCGCCCCGCTTCCCGTATGCCAGGGCCGTGTCCGTCTCTGCAGACCGCGGACCTGTGGCCGCGCGACCCAACAAGCACGGGACTGCGTCAGTAGTGTAGTGGCCACAAGACGAGTCGTCTGCGAAATCCTGAGCTATGAAATAGGACCAAGAACTTTTGGAGTTTAAGGTTTAGGCTTTGGGCTGTTGGGTGCCACATGGTTCATGCTGACATGCTGCGGCAAGAGCTGACTCAAGCATGCTTGTCCAAACCCATGCTTGACCACTGTGTGTGGGCAAACCACCCGGTTGGGGGCGTAGTAGTAGTAGTAGTAGTAGTAGTAGTAGTAGTAGTAGTAGTAGTAGTAGTAGTAGTAGTAGTAGTAGTAGTAGTAGTAGTAGTAGTAGTAGTAGTAGTAGTAGTAGTAGTAGTAGTAGTAGTAGTAGTAGTAGTAGTAGTAGTAGTAGCAATAGTAGTAGTAGTAGTAGTAGCAGTAGTAGTAGTAGTAGTAGTAGCAGTAGTAGTAGTAGTAGTAGTAGTAGTAGTAGTACTAGTACTGGAAGCGGCTGTGCTTGTGTGATAGAGACATGTCCCCTCGCTTCGCGCGTTGTGATGTTGCATTTTGGCAGCAAGCATCATTGTAGCATGTGATGCAGTGACGTAGCCATTGCATGTCGTTTGCTCTTGCTTTGTACAGCTTCACGTCATCTCGACTGCAGCTGTGGACACTCAATTCAAGGTCGTAGCTCAAAGCAGTTGCTTAGCCGAGCTATATTAGCCGAAGGCAACAAACCCGCCATAGTGCTTGTTAACGTACTGCAGCTGCGCAGCAGGTTTTGCGAGCTCTTGAGTGCGATCCGAACGGGATCGAGCGGCACTGTGATTCGGGACTTGCGAGAAGAGCAAGGAAACAATCGGCTGACCGAGTGACTGCGCTAAGCCAAGGAACCCAAGTAGTCTGCTTTGGACGCTTCCCCCGGGTCCACTGGACCTTCTTCTAGTTGGGGGCTGTTCTGGGAAATCACTCCAAGCAGCTACAATGGCGATGCCATCTTCAAGAGGCTACGCAGCCGGGCCTGCTGGCCCGAGGCCTAGGAGTTTAAGCCTCGAGGCGCCAAACCTCGCCGAGTGGTCCCGCAATCTCTCAGGCTGAAAACGAAAAGGTGGCACTGGAGGCCAGGCAATTCTTGAGGAGCCAGGGCAACAAGCGCTATGGCAGTTTCCTTCAGGAGTTGAAGCGCCGTGGTGTCACTGTTACCACACCGGAAGCAGCTGAGCTTTATCACCGAGTGGAGCCACTCGTGTTTGGTTCGGCTCATGCGCAGGTGGCGTCAGCGTATGGGGGAGCGTCTCCTCCTGTGCCGCCCCCGACATCTGGCCCCGCTGCGGCCGAGAACGTTTCTAGGAGCCGTGGAAGTCGTTCGGGGTTGACTCGCGAAGCCGTCGAGGGAGCCGAAGATCCCGAGACCGGAGCTTCGCTCTCCGAGTTGAAGACCTCGTTTTTGAGCGCGATGGACCCAGATGTCGAGACGCTAGACGAGTACGAGGTCCGACTTAGTCAGGGAGTCGAGATGGCGCGAGCCGATTGCCGCGATGAGGCCCTTAGTTACACCGAAGGCATGTTGGGTGAGGCTCAGTACAAGACCGCTTTTGCGCGCTTCCAAAAGTTTGCCACCGATGCGGCGTCCCAAGCCAAAGGGGCGGACGTTGTGCTTCGAGGCATTGGCGCCGGTATTTCGGGACTCTTGCAGAAGCCGGGAGCAGATCCTGTGGCGATCTACTATCGTTACGATGGAGCTGTCCGCGCTTATAGGGAACTTGGAGGTACCGATCCGTCTGGCCGTGTACAAGCACGTCTGCAATCCTTGCATGAGAAGGCCGAGAATGCTCTTGATGCCCGGAGTTTACCTCCGAGTTCTGCTGGGTCTGTCCGATCCTCTCAGGACTGGTTGTGGGAGAATTGTGGTTTGGTGTCCCCATCTCGTTTTCGTCGTGGCGATGCTGACGATCTTCCTGCTGCCGGTGCTGCTCACCGAGGAAGAGACATGGGTCGCGTGCCCGAAGAGGATGTTGAGCGGAGTCGAAGTTCAGAGCGGAGACAGCATACTCCCCCTTTGCAGCGGGCGAGACCTGTTTCTTTCGCTACAAGCGCTCCTGCTTATTCTGTCGCTCTTGTTCTCGTTTCTATTTCTGACTCTTGTTGTAGTTGTAGTTGTTGTTGTTGTTGTTGCTGGTAGAAACAAAGACTGGAGCCCCGTCAAATTTAAAGAAATTCAAGAGGCACGGGGCGCGGCCCTTCGGGGCGCGCCCGGGGGGTGGTTGGGGCGGGGCGGGGGTGCTCGGTTGTTGGGGGGGGGGGAACAACACGGGGCACCAGATTTTGTTTCTTCTACAAGGAATAGAAACAACAACCTCATACGAGAGGAAGGGGTGCTGAAAACAACAGACGGGGCACCAGATTTTGTTTCTACTACTAGCACTTGAAAAAAATCCTCCTGGGGTTATTGGAGGGGCGGGGGGTGCAGAACGACAGACGGGGCACCAAATGTTGATTCTTAGTTGAAAGACTCAAACCTCTGAAGCCTGAGCTTAGGGGACAAGGCAACAAGAGGAAGAACCTCAAAGGGTTAGGGAACAACACGGCCCTCAACCCTGCGCGCAACCCGCTCTCAGAGCGGCCCTTTTTCATCTTGAGCCAAAAGGTGACGGCAGGTCGTAGTCCTGGTCTGCACAACATGACTATACAAGGAGGATACCCGTAAATTAACAACTCCCCCCTTCATGTTTGCAGACTCTCAAGTGCTAGAGCTCATTTGAAGCTCGATTCTGGACTTCAGGAAGCAACAGCTACGAGCTCAACTCTGCAGCCAAACCTACTGTCGATTGAAGTACAGGCTTAGCCATGTACACATTGAATCCAGTATCTCAGGTGATCAGGCTGAGATGCAGACTCAATAAACCTTTAAGGTACTTCTGCTTGCAATCTATACAAAACTACTCTCAACCGGCGCAGGACTGTGCTCAGGCGGAGTCAGAGCGGCGCTTGGGAGCAACTGACATCACGCAGTGCAAGGCTGAGGGCAGGCAAGGCAGAACGAGATCCTCAAGAACTCATTCAGATGACACAGGGATGATGGCCCATATCCAAGCGTCTGCAAAAGCACGATGATGGATACTGCACAAGACTACTCCCAATCAGAAGCACAGCTGTGCTCACGCAGAGTCAGAGTGGCGCTAGGCAGCA